AGGGTCGCTGGGGAGCGCTGGGCTGGGCACAGGCTGGGTGGTTATTGTAGGGTCGCTGGGGAGCGCTGGGCTGGGCACAGGCTGGGTGGTTATTGTAGGGTCGCTGGGGAGCGCTGGGCTGTGGACAGGCTGGGTTGTTATTGTAGGGTTGCTGAACCTACCCGCGGAGCCCGGGTCCCTCACACCCAGCTCTGGGGAGGCCCTGCCCCCAGGAGCTCTCAGCCCAGCCCAGCCAGCGACTTGGAGCGGCCTCCCCCGCACCTCACGGGCCATAGTGTTGGCCGGGCTCCGTGACGGTAGCTGGGCCTATGTCCCACGGGGAACCCGCTTGCTACCTGGGCACCCAGCTCAGCCTGGACACTCTGCCAGGGCCCTCCTGGTTCCCACGCCCCCACTGTGACGGGTTTGTTCACAGAGACCCCCTTGGGACCATCACCTGATGTGCTGAATTCACCTCTGAGCCCATTTCCCCTGCCAGCCTGGGACTCCAGTACCCTGCCTTGTTAAGGCAGACACGCCAGCCTGCTGCAACCGCGACCGAGGTCTGGGCCGCCCCCAAACCTGCAGCCTGTAACCAAAAACTGCTCAGCAAGTCCCCTGTCTCCATTACCCACCCAGCTCCCAGTGGGGTCCAAACCCCAAATCCATCCGTTTTACTCTGTATAAAGCGTATGCAGGGTAAACGCATCAACTGTCCACCCTCTGTAACCCTGATAGAGAGATGTGCACAGCCGTTTGCTCCCCCAGGGATTAATTACTTGCTCTGGGTCAATTAATAAGCAAAAGTGATTTTATGAAGTATAACAAGTGGGATTTAAGTGGTTCCAAGTAATAACAGACAGAACAAAGTAAGTCACCAAGCAAAATCAAACAAAAGTCTGAGCCTAACACAGTAGGAAACTGAACATGGGTAAATCTCTCCCGCAGAGAGGTTCCAAGAAGCTTCTCTCACAGACCAGACTATCAGGGGCAAAGCAGGGGCGTTCTCATGACTGGCCCCCCTTTGTCCTGCTCCACCCCCTATTATAGCTTCGGCCCAAGGCGGGAATCCTTTGTCTCTGGGCCCCACCCCTCCTAAATGGAAATGCCCCAGGTTGAAGATGGCTTCCAGTACCAGGTGACATGGTCCCATGTCCGGTGACACTTCATGCCCGACTGGCTGCACACGGGGACACAGGAAGGCTTGGAGTAAACGGAGCCGTTTGCCACCAATTGTCCCGGTTGATGGGAGCCAGCAAGATTCCAAGCCCCCATTAACGGCCCCCACTTTGCATAACTCCAATAGGACCCCGGAGTTCTAGTCCATATTCCTAGTTACAGATACAAGACTGACACATTCACACCAATGCGACGCCCACACACAGCAGATTAGAAGCTTTGTGACGATACCTTACAAGAGACCTGGATCCCAGCGATCCCACAGCGCTCCCAAGTGTCCAATGCCCCCTGAACATCCCAGAGGGGGGAGAATCCCACCCCCCACCCCGGGCCCCCATCTCCCAGCGCCCCGATCCAGTCCTGCCCTTGGGGGACCCTGAGCTCTGGAGCTGGGCAGGGATCCAGCTGCAAGGTCTATGTCCCCAGGAGAGGGGCCGATCCCCACGCTGGGGCCGGTGCCGCCCCCTCAGGGACTGGACTCCCTCGGTCTAACGTCCTGGTAGCCCCTGGAAGGAGAGAGCAGAGGGGATGGGTTAGAATACCAGGGTTGGAAGGGACCACAGGAGATCATCTAGTCCAACCCCCTGCTCAAAGCAGGACCAATCCCCAGACAGATTTTTGCCCCAGATCCCTAAATGGCCCCCTCAAGGATTGAACTCACAACCCTGGGTTTAGCAGGCCAAGGCTCAAACCACTGAACTATCCCTCCCCCCCCAGGTTAGGGGGTAGAACAGCCTCACCCCCCACCCCCACCCCAGAGAGGGAGAGGTCTCACCTGCGTCTGCTCCGCCACAGCACCACGGCCACGGCGGCTACGGCCACAACCCCCAGGGTGATGCCCACGGCCAGGCCGGGGCCCCAGGGCCTGCTCTGCTCTGTAAAACAGGGGGTGCCGTGCTGGGAACGGGGACAGGAGTGTGGGCAGCCTCCCACGCAGTCCCCACACCTCCGATCATCTCACCCGACCCACTGCCCTTAGCCCCCACTCTCACCCTGTTCCCTCAGCCTCCCCTGCAATCCCCCCTGCACCCTTCACCCCGACCCACAGCCGTCAGCCCTCCCTGAAGTCCTCCCTGCTCCTCCCAGCCTGAGCCTGACCCTTGCCCTCAGCTCCCCAGCTCAGTTCCCTCAGCCTCTCCCAAACTCCCACCCCTTCTCCCCCCACCTTCCCACCGCCTCAGCTTGCCCCCACTCTAGTCCTTCTCCCCCATCCCAGTCCTGTCCCGTTCCCCTCAGCTCCACCATCCTGCTCCCCCTGATCCATCCCACACCCCCACCCACCTTCTCTGCCTCCCTGCGCCCCAATCCCGCTGCCTGGACCCACCCCCGTCCCACTCAGGACGTGCAGGAAAAGCCCCCAGAGACCACGACCCCCCGCCCCCCCGGGGACGTGCACCTACCCCAGGGGATCAGCAGGCTCCGGCCCCCCAGGCTGCTGTGCTGCACCCGGCAGGCGTAGCTG